GTATATTGTTACCATTGTCAATATTAAAGTCTTTTTCAAATGAATTTATTCCATAAAAGCCATATGTTACGATACATTTTACAGAACGATAGTTCTTCGAAGTTTGAATGTTTGTAAATAGAAATGAAATATATACACTTTACCAATATTGTCGTTAAGGAATTACAAAAGTACAGCAGTGAAAAACTTGCCAGGGGAAGTTACTCTTGGCCATATAAAATGTGTTGTCTCTTTTCTTCTATATAAAACGGGAGATAACTCCTCCGAATCAAAACAAAAACCTCCGAGTTAAACAACTGATGCAGTAGTTCTCATTACCCTGAAAATTTAACGGACGTCATCAGCACCCGATTAGCTGTGCCTGTTTTAAAGATTAAGAGATATCCACACTTCTGTCTTATCTTAGTCAAAAGTCTAATGAGTTTCCCAGCCATAACCATGTGTGATGTGTTATTCTTCTGATTAAAAGGGATTACGCCCTAGGGAAACGGGGAAGAAGAGGGATTATTCCTAATCTTGAGACAAGGAAAGGGAAATCTTCAATCTCTCTGTCCTACAGATGTCTTTCTGTCCTTCCTCCAATTTAGTAGAATACCACGCGCTTATTTAATTGTAACGTCATAAATGTGAATGACAATATTGTTTACAAACAAATCCGACAACTGTCGGTAAAATGCTATTAGTGTTTTCTTGTTAAAATAATGCAGTGTTCAAATTTTGTCCTTGTGTATTGAGAATAAACTATATTTTTTCAATTTGCTTTAGATAATCGATTCATTCAAGCAATAATGATGGATTTAATGTTAGTTTGGTTAGAGTTTCTAGCTAAAAAAAATCAATCAGAAGCCTTAATTTAATCATATGATTAAACCATAAATAATATGAACAACAATGCTTTCTTTGTTATTTAGACAGTTTTCCCTATATTTCGGACAGTCTTTGCAAAATGTTCAGTAAATCGGGAATACATCAGTAAAAACAACACAAACTGTTCAGTTGTATTGGCGACACATATTTATCCATGACTGATGGGAAGTGTTTCAATATTTGCCTCGTCATGTTTAACAATAAACGTCGCCTGGCCTACGATTATAGTCAATAATATCTTACGGTGCGTTTTCGTGGGAACATTTACTCAGACGGCGTGAAGGGTAATTAAACAGTCAACCACATTCCACGGGGTAAATATAAATTAAATAACTTCGTGTCCTATAGGTGTTATATTGTTCTACATATGATTAATGCTATTCTTAATGTGTTTCCTCACAGAATGGTAAAGCAATACACGATTAACATAATTTTCAAGTGGAAAGTATAACGCAAAATGTCCAAACTCATTTTAAGGCTTTCCAAAATAGACGATTCGTGATAGAAGACTACCATTCCCTCCTACTTGAAAAATACTCCCCCTACAATGTACTTATATGTACGCTGACTGAAAACATCCCGGATCTATTAATATAACCCATATTTTCGAGTGAATCTGTGTAACTGTAAAAGGTATTTCATTCAATATTCAGGCGAAGCATTGTATACATGTTGTTTCGGAGGAATAGGAAAACAAGCTTAGATCTTGTATCAATTCCTCTCCCAATGGGTAAAAATTATAATTACATGAAAATATTGCGTACTTTATGTTTATTCAAGGTTATATTTATATTCAGTGACATGTTTTAAGTCAAAGAAAACAACTATGTTTATTATGTTTTAAAAAAAAGTATGATACACCTGACAGATTCTGTGTTGAGGTCTCCTTCGTGACGAGGATGATCTATTTTGAGTGCTGGCACACGTACGGTTCATAACAAATTACATTCTCGCCTTATTTCTAATTTTAAGTTAACCAGTACTTCTTTATGTTTTTAATAAATATAATTAAGGGGTTTTATTCACCTCCACTTTTGCTGCAAGAGTAGGTCAAACCAATTCGGATTTCCAACCTTATGACTTCTAGCATCACCACGATATAACTGTTGTATATGGTACATTACAATTCATTGTTTGCTTACTGAATCAGTTACCATTCCATAGATTCAATCAGGTATGTGCATAACGTTCATCTTTGAAGCTTTTTTTTCTTTTTTTTTCTTTGATTCGACGCTTTCAGTAATTACTGTTCGGTTGTTTCTAAAATAGAAACCATATCACTTTACCTGATGCTTTGTTTCCGGAATCGTGACAAGTGTACGTTAACCTCTGGACTGCAGTGATCCGTATCTCGTTGTGAGCGGCACCAACCATCACACTCTATCATCACACGTACATGTATGGTATCTTAAACCCAATAAGTGAACTCAATGACCCGCACTTATAGACACATGTAAAAAAACATTTGTCTTACATAAACAAATCTTATTCGTCATATTTAACCTTTGATACTTGATACTTGATTACTTGATAATAATTATGAAAAAAAACACATTCTGTGTCGTAAAGATTTGATTCGAATAAATGTGTTTGAATTACTGGCGTCTCTTTGTAATTTGTTTTGTACATAAAGTAGGCTTGCAATAAATAATTACAATGAACGTATATTTAAATATGTTGTGACACGACCGCGCCTACTTTTAAACGATGGTTTATTAACTACTTACTGGGTCACTTATTAGATCGTGTATCTCAATGCCTAAAGCAATATAAGACACAGTGTCTCGTCGCCTCGTTTACAAAGAGTTACGAACTAGAAAACCAACAAGGAGATAAATGACTTTACTAATATTCATACTGGGGGGTGGGGGGGTTATGACTTCAATACTTTTACCACTACGTGCCCTTTGCATGATTCGAAAAAGGTGCACACATTTGTTTAATTTTAATTGTTAATGATATCACATGAGAATGGCAAAAAACCAACGAAATGGTATAAGGTATACATTGTATCAATAGGTCGTTTTTATCTAGTTTAATTAAACCATCATTGGTTTTTTCCTAAAACTAAATGAGAGGAAAACTGCAGTGCAAATATCTACATACCTTATAGCTATAACATACGTTTTGTTTTGTCTGTGTAGCCTCTTTTCCAGGAAAAGAAAATAACAATATTAAAGAAATATAATAATCGGACGGTAAACATTTGTTTTTAGCTCTGTACAAAGAAATGCTCTAAGTTTATAGGAGTTATCTTCCCTTGAACGTGGCGTTCTTTAAAACATTTATAAACAAGTTCTGACAAACACACACACACACTCAACGGATCAATTTTAGATTACTGGAGGAATCACGGGATACAAAGCGGCTTATAAACAACATTTATCATTGATATTATAAAGCTGTGTTTTTGAGATAGTACCTGGCCATGTTTTTAATTTATGTTGTTATGTGTGTTTGAATTACAAATAGAGTATCGTTTGACAGTTTTTGTTCCTCTGTCGTATTATTCACGATCTGCACAAAAACAAGCAGGATTTGATTAAATTGATTAACATACGCCTTTCATAAAGACCTCTCCATCAGCTATACTAACATAACATTGATCGTATTGTGATTTTGGCGTGAAAATCAATTGGATCTGGATTAAGAAGTTAGAAAACAAGAATAAGGATTGTTATTGAATTGCTTTTCATTTAAACGCTTGATTATATTTTTATGTAATTAATAATAATAATTCGAGGTTCTTATATACCGCTTTATTACAACCTAGTTCGTAGGTCGTCTTAAAGCGGTTCACAAATTATTTTCCGTGGTTATACTTCACTCTTTTCCATGCATGATAATTTTGGAATTTATTTTAATAATCAAATCCTTCCCTTACATTGCTCCAAGTGACAAACAACACCGTTTTAAGTAAAATATAATTATTGTAAAATATATTATGTATGCCTTGTTAAATGCTATCATGTATATAACAATCACTGTATTAGAGGAAAAGGCGTTGATAAGTTGGTATAACTTGTGCCTAATCCTAAGCTCAAATCAGGGGCAATACATATGTTTAAATCAAATCAAATTTTGTTTTTAATTTCTGCTGTTTTGTGTGTTTGAAATCCCTGAAATCCAGATATTTGTCTTCTGTTACGCGTTATAATATATCAGGCTAGGAGTTATAGTTTAAGGTAAAGGGTATCACTAAATCAGTTATGGTCGCAAAGAAGAGTTCCCCTTTGGATGTTTTTCGACTTGGAGTATTCTCCCTTCTATATAAAAGATGAAGCAACCCGAACGTGTTTCTGGCTTAGAGTAACTTTTCCTGTCAACTTTTAAAGTGCTTTGCTCCCATACATTGAATAACCATTTTGACGCATTAACATTTAAAATTCTAAAATTCCCATTAATAAAGCGTATGGTTTTTAGTGTAAAGATCCCGAGTTCGACCCTTTCTGTTCTTGTGGTTTAATTTTTATTTATTTTTTATTTATTTTTATTTCCAAACATTCAAATATCGAACGACCATAATTCTGTATAATGCATGGCAACATGTGACTTTTATCGAACACTTTTTTTGAAAAGCCTAACCAAATATTTCACAGTAGTGACAGCGGTAGTATTATAGTTTAAATTGATTGTTCCTTTTTACCTGAAAGTTAAACAACAGAAACTAATAACACATTATTATTAAAATATTTCAATTTAATAACAAAACAGTCAAAAAGTACAAAAAGTTCAGTACATAAAAATAAGAAACAAGAGATTTACAATTTATAACACAAAATTATGTATTCATCATTATTGAATCATTGAAGCCTTACCATTTACATTTCATTTCTGCTATATAGAAATACTACTCAGTTTGAAACACAAACATATAGCCCGTTTATAATACTTTGATTTGATTGTGTGGTAAGTTTTTCTAATCATGTTCGTTTTGAAACTATTTAGTTTACGTCATTTTAAATTCAACAAGCATAGTAATTTAAACGGGTTTTTGCTGTATATTATGCATATGAATTTCAAAAGAGTCATCATCTTGGATTTCAAAAATCCGTTCATACATTGACAGTTTAATTAAAACAAGAATATATCGTCCAATGGCCAACATAGTATTGAGACCAGAATTCTCCATACTTTTTATAGAAACACATTTCAAGGTTATGGCAAGCCTGCATTCAAAATCCATTGAAGGTGTGTTGACACAGGATATGGCTAACGTTACGACGTCACGATAATGAGAGTCAAATAAAAAGGATACAACAAATTGGTAATCAATCAAATTTAACTATTGCCTAAAACATAATAAGATATTATAAAAGTAAAAGTATTTGTAAGTTCGACATCGAGTTATTAATAAAAGGATTTGCACGTCACGTCAAATGAGGTTTGGCGAGTGATGCAGCGGTTGTCTTCCCATTGTTTCTTTCTGTAGCTTTTACGCATGACTAGCCATGGGTCACTTTCATATTCCTCCGCGATGAACTCCTCGTCCTTGGCGATGATCAGGCTGGTTAGGAGTTTCTTCAGTGCTGTCCATTCCTCTTCAGATTCTGTATGCATCTTCAATAACGGGTCGGTACTGTTCACGAGACGCCTGGCTCTGCCAATCATCGGTGAATTTTCCTCGTTTGGCATGTTGACAACTTCTTTGAGTTGTTCCAGTAGTTGTACGAGGCGAGACTCGTCTACAGACTTGACAGCTATGAACAGTTGTTCCCGAAGGGAGTCATGCTCTTTGGTGATCGAGCCTTCGAAATACATTGTATCTAGTCGGGCGAGGAGTTTTACACCCCTTCCACGTGTAGAGTTGGCTGCTTCGTTCCGACTTTCTAGAATTCTTGGAATGTTTTCCTCTGTGTAGGGGCCGTGCATACCCGTCTGTCCGTCCATGAATCGGAGTACCTGGGCCCCGCCGATTCCAATCCCGTCTACACCGGCGTACACGGCGTATTTGATTTCGTTAAATTTAAAACCAGCAGAAAAATAGGTGACAAGTCCTCTAATATGGGCCTCGTGAACGATTGTGAGAGCTTCCTCAAATGTCAACTGGTACATGATGCATTTCGAAGGGTAGGTGTCGCTAGCTCCGTCCCACGTGATCTTGTCAAAACCACCTATGGAAGTAATCTCAATAGCTCTAATAGCGATAGCCATTCTCTCTTTCAAGCTACAGACTGAGCACTGATCATAGTCGTCCTTGATTACCTGGTTAAGATTCCATGCTGCAGACAGGAACTGTTTCCGGTTCCGCTGGACCTGACCTCTGAGTGCTTGCATGTAGTGGACGGCCTGTGACGTGCTCAGCCCCTCCATAGACACTTTGCACTCTGCCGCCCCCTGGTAGAACGCCGCTGTGGCGGAAGCTGCCGTGATATTTACCAACTTCAAAAAGTCCTCGTCAAAATTTCCGGAATCTTTCACCCTTCTTCCGACGAAGTATGTAGTTGGAGCGCTTGAGCCAACATGTAGTCTGACTTTGGAGAAGTCAAGCATTGAAGGAATACGGTACGATTCAATATTTTCCCGTGGCAGATTACGAGGACGCTCCAAATGTTCCACGTGAACAATGGCACCTTCCATCCACTCGTTGAATCGGGTGGTGCCTAACACGTGGCCCTCCCCAGGGTCTGTGAGGGACATATATGTCTGTGTTGTAGGTCGGAACCCCGGGGTTCCCAATCCCCGTGCGTTATGGTGACGCCCCTGAGATCCATGGGACAGGTTGTAGTAAGCCAGCTGGAAGGCGAAATACTCGACTGGAGTCGGTTGTCTCCTCTTCTCACGGAGGACCTGTGCCATTTTAGTTACCGCAGCCATGTAGTCCTTGGGAAGTGCCTCTTTGTCCCAGTGGAAGTAAACTCTGTTATTATCGTCGTCAATAGTCGCCTCAAAAAGGGACTCGCCACGGGGGGTGGGAATCATGCCGACGTACAATTCATTCTCTACTCCCCAGGATTGTATGACTTTGGTCGCGTCCTCCCCAGCCTTTTCCACTTGAGACATGATAGAATTGACCTTTTTTGTCTCAATCATGCTTTCGCAAATTTCCCAAAATGAATTCTGACACTTATCTTGACCTGGGAAAATGTATTTCAGTCTCTCGCACACATGGTCTTTCACGGTGCTGAAGTCTACAACCGTTCTCACCGGAAGTTCCCTCTCAGACTGGAAGGGTTTAGTTTGACTGTCAATTTTCACCCTAACGTTATACACATTTTGAAGTACGTCTTGGAGGTAAGCCAGTGCGACTTTTCTCAGTTTTCCAATACCAACGGTACACATATTTTCCGCCTGAAACGAAAATAGAAAAAATATAAATAACAAACCATATTTAGTAGGATAATACATAAATATTGTATAAACAATTTATATATATTATTATATTTATATTTTTACCGTCACATGGACATTTAAAACTATTTATCGCTATATTGTTATATCTATATATATACGGGAGACGAGGCTATGTACGGTTTTTGTGTTATAAAGGCTATGACTATTTTTACCTGTGATATTTTTGACACGTTTATCTTACCAAGTGGATTACCGTAAACAGGTTATTACAGATAACACACGACCAGATCATCAATATTCAAATACTAACTTACCGTTCGTAATGTCATCACATGGGGCGAGTAGATAATTATTTACAAGTGTGTTTTTATTACTCTCTTCATTGAAAATCTGCTAAAGTATTTATTATACTAGGTAAAATCTAACTAGCTGTCATTTTATCTATATAGGTATATACATGTACATGTCTGTGTGTGGTTGTGTTTAAATCTGCTTAAGCATTTATCATATCATCACATTGTCTAACCATCGTTTTATTTTCATAAATGTTAATCCTATTACAAATAACCCTTACAGTGTAGCATCGACAACAATCCCACAAAAATGCATCAGGTAGATATAAGCATTTATATAGCGAGTGGTGTTATTGAACATTATAGATATGGTTAATTAAGTTAATTAAACAGATAATAAAATTAATTGATAATTATTTTACAGAATGTTGTTATTCATTCAATTATCTGTTTAATTGATCTAATTAATCATAAATTTCATATTCCTTTGGGAATACTAACATTGTATCAACATATATCGTTTAATCAACTTAAGCGTTCATCTTACCACTGAATAACCCTTTCCATCAAATATTTGTTACCCTAACAATATTTTCCATACAGTCCTGTGCGAAGCTATATATCATTCAAGTCTTACCATTGTGTGTGTTGAAGGAAGTCTTAGTGCGGTCAGCTGATGAGCTCGAAGTGACGATGTATAGTGTTGGAGCTAGTTTTATAGCAGGTCGCATCCTGTTTTGTCCTTAACGCGTGCTGTTGGAGTGGACAGCTTTTCTCGGAATGTTTCAGTGGCGTCATGCCGGATACCGCTATTATCTGTGTCCGTTTTCACGTAACGCTGCCTAGGTACGGCTAGAGGTGTTTTTTGGTATGGTACATGTGCTCGTCAATATCTCTATGATTTTACTTGGGTGACCGCTTGCTCAGAGATTTATTATGGAATATCTATTGAAATAAAGCATTATTTTATTGTCACAAATTTATTTGAAGTGTTGTGATTAACAAATAGACCAATTGTTCAATATAAATTAGATACAATACAATCCAATTTTTTTATTAACAGTGTCTCATGTGCAAGCTACAAACCATTTATGACTGACACCCAGCCTAATACCTAAAAAGGCTTACGAGACACTTAAGATATTCGTAATACAAGCTAATTCATTAACGCTATGAACTAGTGCACCCATACTTAGAAAATATTTACACGTAATATTTAAAACTTTTTTTTTATTTATACATGTAATATATAAATCAAATTGATGTCTCAGGAATTTCGTCGGTTTTCGCGATACTCTGAATCCCCATATCAACAAAAATGAGCATCTTTGCAGCAGGTATGCATACGCTAGTATCGCTTTAAAATATTCCTGCCTTAGAAAGCACGGGCTTATTTATTTTCGAGAGAAGTACTTAACATGTGCATTTTGTGAAATATTCAGTTTTATCCCTAGGATTCTCTATTGTATATATGACATAGATAATGTGTTGTCTAAGATATCCATGTTATATTATTTATAAACATACATGGGTATTTATAAAGGTTGGCACAATCTCATTGTCCTTTAGACGCCAAATCTGCAGTGATCTTGTATTTCATAAAACTATGTTTTAGAAAGATGGGATATCTTTACCATTTTATATATCATATATTTTTTGTATTATATATGAGATATCTGAGTATCAAAATACCATCTAAAGTAATATATTATTCATTTAAAACAATATCTGATGTAAAATATCTTATTCATTGTACAAGATGTCTAATTTAGTTTTCTATGTAAAATATCTTATATAATTATATATTGATATATCTTTAAAATATATATTATGTCATAAAAGATAACTTAAAGAAATGTGTATATCTAATGAAGTAAAAAGTTTAGAACAAGGTTTATACAAAAAGCGAACTATGTACAAGTTTGAGATACGGAATGGAAAATGGCGTTTGTTCTGGGGTTTTTTTCTGTGGTTGAAAATAAACGAAGTTACAGAGTTCTCAGTAATAAAAAAATCCTGTATCGTTCTGTTAAAATTTCAGTTTTATGTCGATATTTTGATTCCGTTTAATTCCCATGCATGTGACCCCAACACTTCGGCCCATTGTTAGAAACGTGTCATGCACGTACATGTATGAATCGAATAATTTCGTGGAAATTTTCGGAAAGCAAATGTTGAATTAGAAGATACTTGTGAGGCACGAACGATTCGTTTATTTTTTATTTTCAAGAATTGTATCAGTTATAGATACACACATTTAGGTACAATTTGTGATGCATTTATATGAAACGAAAATGACTCGGTCGGAAACAAGTAAAATCATGTTTATGCTAACAAAAGAAGTGTCTTTTTCGTTTGCTTGATGTCCCTAAATCTAACCGATTCATTACAATCAATATAAATAAAACTCTAGACTTTGTCTTTCTTAGAGATCTTTTAAAACTGTAATTTGAATTGTTTCTGTTCGAATTATTAAACGTTATTTAATCAATACTGTAAGATCCTTTAAGTTACTTACAAAGTGAATCTATAGGTCTTTCACGCTAGTACGTGTGCAGCGAGTACTGTTTGCTTTAACAGGTCACAAGGATCCTTGGGTACTCGCATGAAAGAATTATATTACCTCATTGACTGCTTTTTCTATTAAGGGACTTCGCCTAAATATCCCTGAAATAAGACCATCATTTCTTATTTTTAAAGTGTATAAACCGGGAACGTAGATCGAAGTTTAAAACAGATATATTTTGTGCACTTTATTGCATAAACCGCTTCGCGGATTTATGCAAAGTGCACATTTTTTCTTCATTATATACCGTATATACCAAAACAAAATCTTGGTCATTCTTTATAATTTAATTTTAAAAAAGTGGACAAACACGTTGTAAATGCACAGTTAAAGATTTATTTAATTTTTACGTAAACTAAACAATTGCGCTTAAAAAAGCTGCGTTGTAATTTTGCATTCTGAAGTGTAAAAAGTAGTTCCGTCATCAGTTGTTTTTCTTTTTAGGTATATACGATATATACCCAAAAAAATATTATGGGGGAGATAGGCAAAATTAAATTATATATGCTTATCAATAATTCTTACGTTGTGTATACTTTGCTATATAAGATATAAAAAAAAATATCTTACGAAGAAAGGTATTCAACATTCGGCCCCACTTCAATATATTTGATTTTTTTCACCATATGTAGTAGATACATAAAAAAGAACAATTACTGCATATATGATTATTCATTATTACTACTGATAACCGCAGTGGACCTCCTGACATAACACCAGGTTGGGTGACGGGGGTATCCTAACAAACTGTTAGATAAATTTGTCAGAGGCGAATGTAATTTTGAAAAAGAGTTACGATAGTGTATAGTATAAAATTACTGTTATTTTGATACGAAATATGCCATATTCATATACATAAAGTAAGCGTTGTGATACTTCTAATTAGAAAAACATGCAAAAAAAATCAAAATTTAAAATATATCCACCATTATCAACTTGCCTATGTATATAGTTACAATGGTAGTCTATAATTCTATACTTCTTTAAAAACTTTTCATATATATATACTGTCTACAGAAACATTTTTATGTAATATCAACCTGTAAAATACTTTTTTAGCATTCCAAACATGGCCAATGCACAATATCAATGTTTACTATGGTAAATACCGGTACATTTTCTGTTTTTGTTTCATACCAAAAACACTTTATTAAACTATGCATGTTTTCAAGTTATGTGCAGCAGTGATAACTCATAAACATGTATTCTGCAAAAGTAATCTTTCCTCTGGAGAACTACTTAAGGTTGAGATTGTGTTATAGGCAAAGATATGCAGATATATAAAAACAATAAAATAATCTTAATAATAAAACTAATATACACTTGATTATTATCTTATTTTGTCTTTTGCTCATTCACTTAACAAAATATGAAGGAGTTTTACATTATCTTATATCTTTAACTCTAAACAGATATGGCAGGGGCATATATCCTTGTATGGTCAGATTTGATTCTTGTGATCTTGAACGTAGGTCAATGTCACCAATGTTTACTAAACTCTTATCCATTCACATGAAAAAACCTACTTGCCAAATATCAAGATCCAGGGACTTTTTGTTATGAAGAAACACAACCTAAAGGAAAAGTGGAAAGAAAGCTTTGTTTTTCAAATTCACCGGTTGTCATTTTATTGGAATTCCTGATGTTGAAAGATATTATTGGTAGCCAACTTTAAGATTAACGTGTCCAAATTGGAACTCTCTCATTAGTAACGAAATTTCACATACTTGTCTGCTTAAATCTTCAATAAAAAGAACAATTCTTTCTGGAAATAGTGTACCACTTGGTATCAAAGTAATAGTTGGAATATGTTGCACACAATAATGATATAATGTTGTAGTAATCGTGTCATTTAAATGCTCTAGGAGGACTTGTATTACCGCACCTTTAGCAACCACACTAAACTAAGTCAATGAGGTCATAAAATTAATTCTGAAACTAACTCTTTCTGATTTTTAAGCTTCCTATACCCATACCTTTTTGGATTTATCCTGTTTTGAAATTCCAAGCGGGGGCCGACGCTAATGTTAATTCTCCATTGGCGTTGACCCTACCCTTATATATAAGATATGTAATAAGATAAATCTTATAAAGAACGAGATTTCGAGATTCAACTTTGAAATAAAAGTAGCAACTCCTGCCTCAGCAGAAAATGGCGGAAACACGGAAAATGTCGGAATAAACAGACCAAGCAATGAAACTAGATTTCTTTCAGGCTAAAATGGGCTTCACTGTTTAGTTTGAGGCAGAGACGTTTAGAATGCGTCTCTGTTTCTGGCTGTTAGAGGTAATCTTTGTAAATTTACCAGGGACATTTTGCATGATGAAAGTATTGGTAAATATATATAAATGTTATAAAATAAATGATAAATGATCCGTAGCGATAGGGGGTAATTATTTTACAATATACATTTCCGATCATTTTGTTGTTGTCAGTCTCGTGAGTATTTCGTTCCTTATAAGATATCTTATATACTTTTCTTTACATTTATTATATACGATATAAAGAAATGATATAAGATATAATTTCATGAAGAAACCATATATCTTATAAACTAAATAAGATGCCATATATACATTTTACATGTATATAGAAGATATCTCATAAAGAAAATTTGTACATTAACCTATATAAAAATGTCTTAGATACCTAGCATTTTTATGAGATATCATATGTTATATAAGTTATCTCATAAATAATTATCTGACAGACATATGAAATAGAAAGTCTTGTATCTCATAAACAAAATTGATATTTTATATAATGTATAAATATATTATATTGAATATACAATATATGTTATAAAGAAAGTATATCTTATAATATTATTTAATATAGGTTTAGCATTGCGCCTTTGATAAATGTTAAGCTGACTTGACGTAGAAGCCGGGCAGTTCCTGTGGTCTGGTGACAATATTACGTACATGTGTACGTGATGTCCTCGCCATATACACGGAGTTTCCTGGATTCCCGGATGTTGACTTAATTTCATGAAATATTCACAATTATACGACCACATCGTATCTGAATGGTATCTATAAATCGTATGACACCGTCATATGTTTATGAGCGCATTATAGTCAAGTACGGCGACATAATGCGTATATTGAGATTTGCCAGCGCTGTTAGTCTATATGGCTACATCGGTAAAGTTTGGATGGTACTTTGCTAGGCACG